GTTGTACCTGGTGAAGTCTGGATCTGCTGCTCTACAGACCTGAGAGGGTCCCGGGCACGCAGGAGCTCAGTGGAGATCACTGAGCAGCTGCTCTCCATCAGATGAAGAAAATACCTGCTCTGAAAAATCCTGCAGGCACAAAGTGACTCTGGATAGCCTTGCTCTATTCCAGATAATCATGGAAAGTAGGCTTGGACATTAAATAGAATGAATATTTCCCTCTGCATGCTCCTTTTCATGACTGAGGAGTTCCTTAAACCGAGAGCAGAGGTGGATGGTTGGACAGGAGCGAGGAGCAGGAGCCAGGGCAACAGCTCTGTGCAGGGACCAGGAGCAGTGAAACAAATGTGAGATGGAACAAACGCTGCTAGGCAAAAAACAGACCCCTGAGAAGATGAAGAACCAACTGGGGATTTCAGTTAAGGCTTGGAAATGGTTTCCTTTTTCTTTTGATAAAGCAGTTGATTAGCCCGCATTTCCGTGTTGCAATGCTTTGTCTCCAAGAATCATCCCTTTGGCCTCTCTGATCAAATTAGTGCCTCTGCTCCACATTTCATATTTGGTAATTGCATTAACTTTTGGTTGCTTGACTTGGAGGGTCATGCTCCCCCCCTCCTCTGTCTGTTGTCTTGTTCCTGCCTGCTACAAATATTTCCCACAAATCTTCTAAATCAAACCACACAAAGCTCGTACGCTTAAAAACAAAATTGGCAACCATTTTTAACTTTTCTTCTTTTACTCTTCTTCTCCTCCCTCCTCAGCCCCTCACAGACTTTTAATCAGAGTTCCCTGTGCCCACTTTTTACCACAGGGACACACACAGGCAGGAGGGACTGGGCCTCACTGTGCAAATGCTTGGCAGCATCACAGCTGCAAAGTTCTCAAATTTATCCATTAATACACATTAACAAGGAACTGTACATCCCTTGAAGGAGCACAGAGCATCACACCTTGCTACTCAGGCTTGGTAATGAGCCACCCAGGGTTTTAACAGAGCCCAGGTAAGCTGGACGTGAATCTTTCAGAGAAATAGCAGAAAAGACAATTTATGAGAGAAATTACAAATGCTTCACTGACCTGCAAAAGGAAATTATCACTACAGCACTAATTTGCTGTGAAGGAATGAATAGAAGTTGTGAGTGAAAGAAAATTACACACCCCACAAATTTGTCACAAATTAAAACCTCAACCCCACAGACTTGAGGTTTTAATTTGTGACAAAATAATCTGCAAATGCAAGACCCATTCTAGGCAAGCAGTGGTGCTGAGGTGAAGCTCTGCAGAACAGAGCAGCTGTGGCTAATGAAGGCAGCAGCTGGGCAGGTACCATCTGCCTTACTTCTGAGAGGTGAGCTGCAAGGGCTGGGACATTCCCTACCAATTCCACTTTTCCAAAAAGTCAAGAGAAGAAAACAAGCCATTTAAAATAAACATGTAGAACTTGGTGGCAAATGATTGAAGATACTTAGAACAGATATTTTCTTAATCCTTTCAGGCAATAGTTTCTGAAAAATTGTACTTTGCACGTGTATAGTGTTTCATTTCTCTTTTAAAGATGAATTTGTCTGACTTTGCTGAGTTTCCTGAAATGATTTAGGGGGAATTCCTTCTATATTTTGTTTAAGTGCATTGCCAGATCAGAAGATGTGAAAATACAGCATCTGAATAATTGATTTATTTGCCTTGCTTTTCTTCTCTGCTTAAATCTTGTGAAACTTAATTACCATTGCTTTCTATAAACCAATTAACTGCTCTCACCTCTCTTATTTGGCACTAATGGTGTTTTGTTTTGTGAGCCAAAGTAACCAGTACCAGTGTTACTGTGGCTGGCCCTGAGATTTACTCTATTTTATGGGTGCTCCATAAACCTATAGACTACATGATGACTCTTCTGAGTGGGGATCCTGCTTGCAGATCTAGGAGAAAATGTGTTTCCCTCAGGTGAAGATCAATAAGAGCAGCACAGAACATTGTTGGGAGCCTCAGGGTTCTATCTCCAGGCTGTCCCATGATAGTTAGAAGCAAGCTCTAGCACCTGCAGGACTCCAGATGCAGAATTGATTTCCACTGCTGATGGTTGTTGGTGGCTTTCATTCTGGAACATCCTCAGCAGTGCATTGGTGGCTCTGAAACTGCCCTCATAGGCAAAATTATGCTTCAGGACAAAATACAAATTCTGGATGGGGTAAAACCCCAACAGTTTGCAAAGCACACTGATGGTTTTCCATAGCCAGGAGGAACAGGCTGAAGATGTAGGAAGTTATTTCCCAAAAGTGGAGCATTTCCATGGCCATCCCTCCAACTGCCCAGCCCTGATCCTGCTGTTGTTACCACACCAAACAGAAGAAGAGGGAAAATCTCTGTGGCAGTGCAAACAGACAGAGCAAAAGATGCCAGACAGGAAAGGAGGTCTGGAGAGAGGAAAGTACCTGAACAGCAGCTGGGGGACAATTTCTGATTCAGTTCTGTGACTTAAATGGAGTTGAAGCTGTTTGAACTCATTCTGGTGGTATTGGTTTTGCCACCACAGGGTGTCTCTGCATCTCTTCTAACACCAGAGGCTGTGGTGGCCTTTAATGGCAGCCTGCAGGCTCCAGGGAACGTGGGGCCAAGGGAAATGTCCCCCAGGTCAGCTGGGATTTTCCTCAGGATCATGAGCCTTCTTGGACTGGAATGGTGATGCCTTCATTAGCTGGTAGGAAATTCTATTTTTAGCAGCTGCAGTGCAATGTTTAATTTGGTTTAGAGAACTCTCTGGTGCTGCTCTGGAGGAAGCCATGGCCCGATGATGTGGGGCACTGGCAGCTTCAGCTGATTCTGCTCTGTGCTCACAAGGGCTGAGGTGTTTTCCCCCTAGTGGAACCCTTCTGCTAATTTCTGATTTCCAATTTTCCTGGCTGCCATTTCACCTTTATGCTTGTGTGGATATTTTCTGTTCCCCCTCAATCAGGATAAAGCTGCTATGGGGTCAGCACAAACACTGTGCCATTTGCTCTGGACAGTTTGTATACTAAAACATTTCAATAGGTTGGGTTTGGAGTCTTCCAGGTTTTTGGTTTTGGGTTTTTTGGGGTTTGTTTTGGTTTGGTTTTTTTTTTTTTTCTTTTTTGAGACCCGTGAGCTTTGGTCTTGCACCACCACTTGTTCCACCCTGCATGTAATAATGACTGGAAGTGAGACCACAGGAAGGGTAGGAAGGGCTGGTGTAAGGTCTCTCTGTCCCAGAGGCTCCATGACTTGTCACTTTCTCAATATTCAGGTGTGGCTTGGGTTTGAAGATGAAGGTGAGGATGTCCCTGGTAGCAGGAGGTGTCTGTGTTTGGTGCCAGCCTGAGTGTGGGTGCTGCTGTGGCACCACACGAATAATCATATAAATGTATCATATAAACAATCATATATATAAAGTATGATACAAATGTATCTTTGTCTAGGATATCTGAAAAGTAAACTCTCCTTGGGAGGGAATAGTTATGGAGGAATTCCAGATGAGAAGTGCTGAGCTGAGTAATCTGTGCGTGGATGAAGCTTGAAGGTAGTTGGGAATCTCCTGATTGTCATCAGGGCGTGCCTAATGGTTGAAACTCCATCTTTACATAGAGAAAATGCAGTTTGAAGTGTTTTCTACTTCCATCAGGAAAAGTTTCTATGGCCAGGCTCTCATGAGTGTGATATGTGAGCAGAAACCTAAGGCTGGAAGTGCTGCCCAAAGTGACATTCATTCATTCATGCAGATAATTGGCTCCAGCACAAGAGACAGAGTGCAGTGGCAGGAGGAGTGAGGAGTCTCCAGAGCAGTGACCAAACTCTCAGGCAGCAGAGAAGGAAAGGGGTTCCTGTGACTGTCCCTGGGAGAGTTCCCTGGTTCCCCAAGGAGCTGGATCCCCTCAGAGCTGGCAGCCCATGGCTCACATCTGAGTCAGTGACACCACATCTGTGGTGACACCTGAGCCCAGATTTGGGCAGTAGCTGTGTCCTGATGTCTGGGCTGGGGCTGATGTCACATTCCTGGCTACATTCTGCATGAAAACACTCAGCTGGTCGATAACAAGCTGAGAAATTGGGATTGATGCCTTGCTCACCCCCAGTAGCTCTGCTGCCTTTGCCTCTTGCTTTGAGGAACAATTCATCTTTTCTTAGATTTCCACATCAGAAAACATAGATTTGATCTGATGACACTGCTGCCCTTTATTCCCAACAGGCACCCCAAGATTTGAGGTCCAGGCACTTAGCAAAGCTACTTGCCCTACCCCAACACCTGGTTTGAATGGCCAGTGCTGGCTGCCACTGACACCCATGGAAAATTAGTGAAGGCAGCAAGAGGTGAAGCCTCTTTTTATAAGTGAACAAGGTATCATTGGGGCAGCAGTGTTAAATGCCACTTCTTGAAAAACCATGCTGACTTTCTTATTCCTTCACCTCTGTTTAGAGCATGTGAAGGCCTTGGTTTGGATGCAGAGGAGCCTGTGCTGTTTCAGAGTTTCAGTTCTGCACAGGGGAATGGATGGGCATGCCAGGGAGGTGCTGGTGTTCATGGAGGGTGAGGCTGGATGGGTCGAGGGTGGGAGCACGGGCTGTACCTCCTCTGAGACACAACCTTTCCAACCTTTCCAGAATCAGTGCCTGACTGGTAGCTTATCTGTCTCTGGACTTGCTCTGAGGGTGAAATGACACGCACGACAGCGTGGGATCGAACGGCAGCACCTTCCGTCATTCTTCTCCTTTTCAAGGATGTTTCTTTCTGGCGAGGAGAGGCAGAGGGAGGGTGGTCAGACAGACACCCAGCGCTGTCCATCTGTCCCCCAGGCCGCAGCGAGCCCCCCCCGGTGCCACACCCGGCGCTGTCCCCGCTGCCGGCTCCGGGCAGGAGGGTGTGGAGGGGCGCTCCGAGCCTCGCCCCGCTCCCGGGCTGTGATGCGAGGCGCAGGCATGCTCAGTAGCCGGTGCCTACCCCTCCTCTCCCAACAACACAGCCTGCAACAGTAGGAGCCGGCTGGCAGCAGGCGCGGAGCCGAAAGCCATCTTTGCTGGAGAGGGAGCAGCGCAGCCCGCAGCCCCCGCTCGCCATGTGAGTACCGGGCAGCCGGGCACACGGCTGGCACCGCACCGGGGCTGGGCTGGGCCGGGGCTGCACACACGGCAAGGATGGACAGGGGTCGGGGCTGGACAAGGATCGGGGCTGGACAAGGATCGGGGCTGGACAAGGATCGGGGGTGGACAAGGATCGGGGATGGAAAAGGATCGGGGGTGGACACATGGCAAGGACAGACACAGGTCGGGGATGAACAAGGACCGGGGATGGACACACGGCAAGGATCGACAGGGGCCGGGGATGGACACACGGCAAGGATGGACACGGGTCGGGGGTGGACAGGGGCCGGGCGGGGATGGACACGGACCGGGGCTGGACAAGGACCGGGAATGGACACGGCCGGGGCTGGACAAGGATCGGGGGTGGACACATGGCAAGGACGGACATGGGTCGGGGATGAACAAGGACTGGGGATGGACACACGGCAAGGATGGACACACGGCAAGGATGGACACGGCCGGGGCTGGGGCGGCTGCCAGGGCGGGGGCTCGGCAGGTGCCGCGCTCGGAGCTGCGGCAGCACCGCCCGTCGGACCCGCTGCTGCTGCTGCTGCTGCTGCACCTGAGCGCACGGATGGGCTCTCCCCGTGTTTATCCAGCAGCCCGGGGGTTACTGGCTCGTTTCTGGTCGGATTCATGCTGAAAAGGGAAGGCTGGGCCAAGATCCTCAACAGGTTCGAGCCAGGGTGGTTCAATAGCATGAGTCACCGGCGCTGCTGCTCCCGGCACACGGGTCCTGTTTGCTTGCCGTGTTTAATGAAACGCTCTCTCGCAGACGGGAGCTGTCTGATCAGGCCAGCCTCACCTTCTCCAGTGCCTATGGCTTCCTGTCAGCAGTGCTTGGTAGTAATCTGTTCCTTCTTGTTCCCATCTCTCCAAATACCTGCTCCAAGTTTTTACATGGAGCATTAATGGAAGCGTTAGCGTTCTCTGGGAGGCAGCGATGAAACCCCCAAAGTCCCTTCTGAAATCAGAACTGTGCTGAGGTAAAGAGGAATTGATCAGACCCCTCTTCATTCACAAAAGGATTCAGGCAGCTGAATGCATCATTTTACTATTGCCTCAATTCATGGCTCATTCCCAGTGACCTTAAGGGAGAGCCCAGGAAGATGTCTCAAACAAACAGTCACTTGTGCTGGTACTGGGTGATCCTGCAAGGACTGGAGCTTGGTTGATTCAGAGAACATGAGGAGTGCAGACTGCCTTGGGAATCTGTGATTAAATTGCTTTAAAAATATTTCCAATAACCAACTGTTCTTCAGGAGGCATTTTCAAAATAGAGTTTGCAATGGCATATTCTGAAACGTTAGCTTTTGTCTTTAATGCTGTTTCCTAGATAATATCTCAGACAAGAAGCTTTTGTCCAAAATATTTCTAAAGCAAGGAACTCCTTGGAATTCAAAAAACCACTTTCTAATAGAAGATTCCTTATGCAAACACTGAAGCCTGTCAGTTAAAGCCAGTTCATTGTAGGCTCCTGTTGCCTGGCTGTGTTTCTGTTGAGCCAGATGATGACATCAAACACTTTTATTTGTACGTGAGCTGTTCTTCAATGATTAATATATGAGTTTGCTGCTGCAGTTTTGTACAACCTGAGCTGTTCTGACACTAAGCAATAATCAGATGATGTTTAACATAACCTGTATGTGTTTCAGTCAGTGTATGTAGGTTTTCATGAGAGTATTTGTAAATTAAGTAGAAAGGGTGGTACTGATATAACTTGGTCATACTTCTTCTGTAGGTGCTTTACATCAGACTTCTGACAAAAATTAGAGGAAAATGGGAAGGCAGTTTTTGTCTAATTTAGCCAAATGGACTTTCAGTTTGATAATTGAAAGAAAACCAAGACAAATAAGCACCTTGCCATTGACAGTGTCAGCTAGCTTCTGTCTCACTGCCAGATGTTGTAATGAAACCTTTCCTTTGAACATCTCCATGGGTGTCGTGTCCCTGGAGCTGCTGCTGAGCCCCAGAGGTGAGGGTGGGCTGGCTCCTGCCTTGCAGCAGCAGCTGGAGCTGCCTGGCCATCAGAGCCAGCTGTTCTCTGAGGTCCCTCGTGCTGCTGTGCCAGCTGTGGCCGTGCTGGGCTCCTCCTGTGCCTGCCCAGACCTGCGCTGACACCCAGGGTGCTCTGACTCCACTGCTGGGATAAAGATCTGCCCTGGGCCAGGTGCCAGCCCCACCCAGCCCCTGTGCTGTCCCCTGCAGCAGCTTGCAGGGTTTGCTCAGGAAGGTACAGGGCTGTGCTGAGCTATTCCCAGAACGCTTTCCCAGCTTCCAGCTCAGGAAAATGTCTCCAGCTTGGGGAGTGTCTGAACCTCGGGGGAGTTCTTTGTGTTTCATGTTTCTTTGTATTTCATGTTTCTTTGTATTTCACGTCGCCTGGTGGGTTTTGTTCTCTCAGTAAGGTGTCAGGTGCTCAGTTTGTGGTGTCCTGGCTGAGGAGCTCTGCAGTGTGTGGCAGCAGCTCCCTGTTGGTTTGGAGCTGACACGGAGCAGGCTCTGCCTGATCTCGCCCTTGTTTTGGAAACCAGAGAAGAGTGTTCCTTATTCACCGTGTTTTCTGTGACCCATGGCTGTGTGTCACCCCAGCAGAGCTGCATGGTCCACATCAGGTGGGAATCTGTGCCTGTGGCCTCTCACAGTGAGCACAACCCAGGGCAGGTGGGATCCATCCAGGTAACAGAACTTTCACCTTTACGCAGGCAGAGGAGGGGAAGCTGTAACATCAATGAAATGAAATGAAAGGAGAAGGACATAAAAGGTGTTTAAAGCAAGAACAGGGAAAGGTCAGGCCTGCCAGCAGAGCTGGGAAAGTTGTTCCAGGTGTGAGGAAGAGCACACAAACTCATTTGGAGGAGATGTGAGAAGCGGTGAAGGACAAAATGGTGCTCAGAGCTGAGGTGCTCCTGGGCTTTGTTCCTGGCTGGAAAACAGGACAGGAGCAGCAGGTGAAGTGGTGGTTTTGTCTCCTTTGCAATGGCCACAGCTTGTGAAAAATGCCAATCACTTGTTTTTAAAATTTTAAAAGTGTAATAGTAATGAAATGGTTATAAAGATAGTAATACAATGAGAGTAATAGTAATTTGGACAATTTGAATTAGGACAATATGAGACAATAAAAAAAAAGAGTTACAGATGTCCAGGTACCTTTTCTGGGCAGCACAAGCCTGAAAAAGGACCCACGTTAACAGAGGATTAACCCTTAAAACCAACAGCCTGTTGCATGTTCATACACCTCATCCATGATGCATAAATTCCATTCCAACACAGGATTCTGTCTGGGCAGTGTCAACTTCTTCCTCTGAATCCTAACAGCGCCTTTGAGGTGGGAAGAAGTTCCTTTCTTCTGATAATGGGGCAATAAATTCTTTTTCTCTGAAAGATTCAGGTGTCCTGTGGCTGCTGTCTCGCTGCGAGTCCTTTCTTTAAAAAAAGTATCCTACAGAGCATAGTTTCTATTTTAACATTATGTTATAACCTAAAACTATATTTAACACACTACTTAAGAGAATTAATACAGCATTACTTTCTAACACAACACATATAATATTCATTTTAATATTTGCAAAAAGCCAATCATAAAATACATGCATTTTTCACACAGCTCAATGGGCAATCCCATACCATAGCAGCTGGAGGCATGGGGCCATCAGGCAGCTCAGTGGCCAGGCTGCAGGGTGCCTCTGGCTGCATTAGTGCAGCACCATGGCAGGGACACCTTCTGTGAGACAGCAAAAGCACCTGGGGCAAAGTCCTACCTCATTCCCCAGGCAGCAGTTCGAGCTTCTTAAAAAAATTATTCTTGTGCTTGTTTTAGAGCAGCAAGGAGGGGATGGGTGGGATTAAAATGGCTCCAGCAGCAGAGTGAGTCTGTTCTGGTTGAGTGTCTGTTCAGTTTCTCTGAGAACAATGTCGTGACTATTGTCTCCTGTTGTTTGCAGAGCAGTGCTTAGCCCTGCTTTTGTGGCCATAATTTTATAAAACTTGTCAAAATCTCCCTGCCCTTTTCTTGTACTAATCAGCAGAGACAAACAATTCAGTATAATCCTCTTCACAGTCCTGATCCACTGCTTGCAGGGAGTTCAGTGCCTTACAGGAGTGCATTCAGCCAGGGCATGTCCTGGGCAGCTCCAGCAAGCAGGAGATGGGGGATACACGTTCAGAGGGATGCAGCTGGGTCTGTGCTCCCTCAGAAATGTCTTCCACAAGGGCTCTGTAGAGCCAGGGTGCAGGAAGATGGGAGCCCCTGGAGCTGTCAGGGTTTCATACCTGGTGGCCAGTGCTCATTCCCAGCCAGCCCAGGTCAGGGGTGACATTTCTGCCATTCTGCCCCTCCTGCAGGCAGCCAGAGATGATGGCTTGGGCTGGCTCACACAGCCATGGCTGTGGAGCTGCTCTTCTCATCCAGGGCCTGTAATGGAGCTTGAAAATAACCAGGCTGAGCTCAGAGCAGCAGGGCTGTGGACATTGGGAAAGGATGCTGAGGAGTGGGAAGAGCCCAACTTTCAGCACAGCTCTGTCCTGACCCCTGTGCTGGTTCTGAGGCTCACAGCTCTTTGTAAGAGCCTTTAAGGAGTAGGAGCTGCTGCTTAATCTGCTGCCTGGAGACATCACCAGGGGGATTCAGGTGTTTTATTCACTGTTGGCTTCCCCTGACTTGCTCTCCTGTGGCATCATGCAGACACAGATCAGCTCCATGTACTGCAATAGAAATAGATGCTTCCAGCTCACATGAGGGGCTGTTCCTCACACACTCACCTTGCTCTTGGAAGTAAGGGTGGCCCAAGTAGGTCATAAATCTTTTGGATATTTGGGTGATGAGTGTTTGAAAGTGTGGAGATCAAACTGTGTGGTGTCTTGAGGGCCTCAGCCAAGGAAGTAATCTCAGAAAGGAGCTAATGGGAAGGATATGTGACGAGTGCAGGCAAAGATTGTGTCCTAATAAACATTCTTCCAAACTGGCTAATGTGAAAT